CTTCCCGAGACTCCTGGCTTTGCACATGCAGAGACTGTCATCCCAAAGACTTGGCATATTCCCCGGCTTATGAACCTGGGTCACTGTGGGGCTTCTTCTCAATGTCCATGGTCATACAGGATCCCTTGCTGATCTGTTCTAGAAAGGCCCAATCGAACAGAATGCAACAAATATAGCAAGTACAGTCAAGTGGTTTGCAGACGGTTGAACCTTGTTCAACGTTGAAAAGGTCCCCTCCAGCTCAGCTACCTAAAAAAGATGGCATGGTTGAACTTGCACATCAATGTGACAAGGTCCGGAATTGTCTTTTTACGAGGCCCTTGCGCAGGTTAGCAGCATCAATCATGCATAGTTCGATATGGAGCATCAGGTGAAAGACTCCAGCGTAAGCTGCTTACAGACTTCTTTGCCAAGCCCGTCATCTGACCCCTCTTCAAATCCATCATGTGGGCGATTGAATCGGTTGACTATTTGCGGATGAGAGTCGCGGTCCGGAATTCCCTAATGGATGCTCTGCTTCCGCGTAACCAGACCATGGGCTCAGCAAGTGTACTAGCGTAGTGTAGCCGACTTGGCACGTTATGCGACCTCACCTTCCCCATTCTCACTTGACGGTCAGCACATAATCTGTCGATTTAAGGAGAATTTGTTCTGACAGGTCGACGCTTTTGGAAGAGCGAAGATACCGTTCGCGAGATAGGTGGGCATTTCATTGTACAGTGACAGTCGCGTTGACGCTGACAGGTGTGTCGTCCTGGACTGGGAATGTAATGCATGGCAGTAAGAAACCATCCCGCAGTTGTAGGCCTCCTTTTGGCCATGTGAAATAGTGGATGTACATAGAAGCACGTCCGGAAAGAGACAAGCATGCACTCAGCAGCAGCAGATAGACTATGCAATGCTTGATCACCAACCTAACATCGAGTCCACATCCTGGTCAGAGCCCAAATCTAAGTCTACGCTAGGTACATGTTATCTAGGTGCTCACAATCATTGCTGGAAGACAAGAAACATAAAATAGCAGAATTGATTTAGGTATCTCTCGCTGCTTGTACGAAGACCGGACTCTTGTGAAGATTGAATACACCTCAGTGGTCTTGTCTTGACGATATGCTCCCGTGAAAGATTCATTTTACAGCCGAACAGCCATAGCCTTTCTGAGCAGCTTGAGCTTAGCGAATCAAAAAGAGACAATCCATTTAGAGGCCTGGGGATTTGACTTGGCTGATTTGTGGATGATGACAGAATGATACAACGCATCAATAAGGAATACCAAAGAGGGCTGGACGAATGGCTTACGGTGTTCTTTTCATAGCTGGAGCGGCAGCTGGTGAGTGCGTGTTCTCGGCTTGTGCCGTCGTCTCTAAAACCGTTTCAATGTACTGCAAGATGCCACCATGTTTGCTGCTCTGATAGTGATGAGCTGATCTGGCACGTCAAATCAAAATATTCAAAAGAAGTAAGATGTGAAGGGCGCGTAAAGTCAAAGTAGTTTTCAGATTCATTGTTGGGCGTTTTAGTGTAGATCTGGCATTCAGTGGCCTGATATTGTCTTGGTAATCAGAGGTTGGATTTAACGGACTTTGCTGAGTCAGTCCCGCGGTTTTGCCGCAAAGCCCGCAGTGGCCGAGCTCGAAGCTTCCAGGCGCCAATGGCATTAGCAAAACCCCCAACGTCATCTGTCACTGGCAAACTTCAAACTCATCATCGACCTCTTTTACTCTCTCCCTCTCACCACCATCACCACCGCCACCAACAACTTTCCAACCTTGATCGACACGATACGAAACGAATTCGTTTGAAAACCCTGCCATCAGCAAGCGTCTCGCAAGCTTGTCACTCATGCTCGTTGCACCTACCATACGCCAGGGCTCAGCCCGCCTGGCGACGCGCATCCCCGCCATTTCCGCGCCTCTGGCAAAGACTTCTACCACCTCGGTCGCTACACGCGCCTTCCACCAGTCCGCCCGCCGTCCGTCCACATTCTTCTCGTTCGCCGCCACACTAAGACAATCTACACCGAGCAAGTCGACTTCGTTGATCAACCGCCTTGCCTCGGCCGGCAACAAGCGAGGATACCAGTCCCGAGCGCAACCAGTCCAGGACAATGCTTCTGCGCTGCGGAAGTTTGCTGTCGGAGGTGCCATTTTTGGCGGTACGATAGTGGCTATCAATGCCATTTTTAACCGAGAGACCCGCGAAGATGGAGGTATGCCCGCGTTCGAGCGCGGCTACCTCAACTCGACCTTCATGCACACCGGCATTGGTATCGGCATTATCGGAATCACGGCTCGGCAAATGGTGCAAAGCGGCTTCGTTTACAGATTGATGGTCACCAACCCTTGGGTTGTTATGATTGGAGGTCTAGCCATGAGCTTTGGTACTATGATCGGCACCAGGATGATTGAGCCCGACAAGTAAGTGTAGCTCCGCAAAAGCTGAATGCAAGAGCCTACAGAACTAACAAGACATCACGCTCAGCTACATTCCCAAGTACGCTCTCTGGACTGCGTTCAACGCCACTCAGGCTGCTTTCGTTGCGCCGCTTGTTGCTTTCGTCCCTGGCGCCCTGCTCGCCCGAGCTGGTCTTTACACCGTTGCGATGATGGGTTCCATCTCTTTTGTCGGCGCCACTGCCAAGCAGGAGAAGTACCTCTACATTGGTGGACCTCTGCTCGCCGGTGCCGCTCTTGTCATGGCTTCTGGATTCGCGCCCATGCTCCTTCCGGCAACTGCTGTGCGCACGCTTGCCTTCACTGAGAACATCTGGCTCTGGGGTGGTCTAGCCGTGTTTGGTGGCTTTACTCTGTACGACGTTCAGAAGGTATTGCACCACGCTAGATTGGCTGAGCGAGGCATTATCAAGAAGGACCCAGTCAACGAGAGCATCGCCCTTGAGCTGGACTTCCTGAACATCTTTATCCGCATGGTGCAGATTCTGATGATGCAGCAGAACCGGAGAAAGTAAGGTATCTCTGGTAATGAAAGCTTTCTGGAAAAGTCGGGGTTACTTCGCAATTCCACTTGTAACATGAGTCTTAATACTCAACTCTATATGTCATAGCTGTTGTGTTCTCTTTTCCCTATTACATTCTCCTCTCTTATACTGCACTTTTGTGGCAACGTTCCAGAGGTTTTAGTCGAATTAAGTAGCAAGCAATTGATTTCAACAAAATGCAGAGTTTGCCTTTCGACATTACACGCGTGTATGATCTTCGTACAAGTGCTTAATAGTATGTTTTGCGTGGTATCATAATCCTCACTGTGGGTTTCCTATCATCAAACTATCATCCTAATCCCCTCATCACAATGTTCCTGCCTACCTATTGCAGAGGCGGAAGGTCTCGGACATAGTGCGTAGGGCACTGGTACCCAGAAGGGTTCTTGTCCAGATACAGCTGGTGATACGCCTCAGCATCCCACCACTGACCAGCCTCGACAATTTCCGTCGTCACGCTGTTGTCATACCACTGAGCATTCGCCTTGGCGGTGATTTCCTCTGCGATCTTCTTTTGCTCCGAATTGCGATAGTATATGCCCGACCGGTACTGAGACCCACGGTCGCCACCCTGCCTGTCCTTGGTCGTTGGGTCGTGGATGCGGTAGAAGAAGTCAATAAGCTGCGCGTAGGTGATGCGTGACGGATCGAAGATGAGTTGCGTCGCTTCAGCGTCTACACAGCGGAAATTCGTCAGTCAGTCGAGGTTCCAAGAGGGAAAACCAGCCAGTCAAACTGATGGACTGATGAACGGAATACGTACGACCAGTCTCAGTGGAGCAAACAGCGCGATAGGTGGGGTTTTTTGTGTGGCCGCCGACGTAGCCCACACGGGCGTCGTACAATCCCTTGTCGCCAAAGTGCTTGCGGTAAATGTGCTCGACACCCCAGAAGCAGCCAGCGGCCACAATGGCTTCCTGCGCGCCGTCGGGAATGGTCGCGGCGGCGGCGATGCCGTTCTCGGGCACGACGCCAAGGAAGGAGGCCGTCATGAATGGGCGCGTAAGGCGCGCCACGAAGCCGGGCATGGCGAAGACCATTATTGTTGTGTGAAGGAAGAAAGAGAACTGGGAGCTCTGTCAAAAGTTGATAGAATCGGTCAGGTGAATCGGGGTTTTGCGCGCTGCTGTTATAATCAAACCACTGCTGCAAAAGGCACAATGTCTGGTAGATAGCAGGGTTGAATCTGGCTTGAGGAGTTTGGCGGTCTGAAGTTATGGATTTGGCGCTCAGCTTTGAAGAGGCGAGGGAGAGTGAAAGGAAAGCTTGCCCGTGAGTTTAATATGTGCTCGTCAGTATTAATCAACTGGTGGCGGTTCTTTTCCCACATGCATTGCCATCATGACAAATACAGCGCAGGGCTCAGCGGGAACGGCGGAGCTGTTGTGGGGGGAGGGGGGAGAGTTTAGCGCTGCAGGGCCACTGCAGGCGTCACTCCGCCATAATACTACGCTAAGACGAAACGGCTGCCGAAGGGGTCGCCCGAGTATACTCTTCTTAGGAAAGCAGGTACCTGAGTAGGACCTCAATTGATTCCATGCTTTGGCGAGAATTTCAGATAAGTATGAGCATTGGAGACTATACTGTATACTGTAGCCAAGTTGGAACCAGCAAGTGGAATTGCATACGTTCTATGCTAAACTTATTGAAAGAGATTCCGCCATACCGGTCTTCTCAGGATATGCTGGTACATTGCGAGTTCCTACCTACCTGGATAAGTACTACTTGTCTACCCGGGAAGGCTAGGAAGTACATTCGCAGAATTCAATGATATGATGCAGCGAATTGAGCACTATATGCAACCTTGAATTACATCAAGCCGGAACAGTTTAAGAGGCAGGGCTTTTCGAACTTGGGTGCCTATGTAGCATGCGAGATTTCTGGCAGCAAAACCCGCCGAGGTTACACTGCAGATGGCGATTTAGGGTTCTAATCAACAGACTATTCTTTTGAGTTCAGCGAATATATACAATAATGAATTTTCAAATGTCAACAATTACCAGGTCCCGTAGCTCAGTTGGTTAGAGCGTCGTACTAATAATATCCTGAATGGGAATTATCATGTAATGCGAAGGTCGCGGGTTCGACCCCCTCCGGGACCATTCATTTTTGGAGGACCGCGGGCCTACATTGCTGCCCGCACGCCAACTCTCACCACTCATTCACACACACAAAAGCTTTCAATCTTCTGTTTTTCATTTTGGATTTTGAATTCATAGTTTCTCTTTTCAATTATTTCCATTTCATTTCTTCTTTTCCACATTCCTACCGGAGCTTGGGGTTTTGATTTGAGGAAATGATGTCTCCCCAAACCGCTTTCCCATTTCTGGAACATACCTTCGGAACCTTGGGAGTACAATACGGTCCTGTCTTTAGAGTAGGTGCTCAGATAGGAAACCTTGCTTCCAATATATTTGACCTCGGTAATAAATCTAATAATATGTATACGCGCAAACTGAATGACGAGAAAGATGAAACCTTCTACGGCTAATGACGGTGAATCTTGGTCCATGCCTGATTAAACAGTAACGGCGATGGAAAACCTGGGAGGTTCAGATATAGAGGGGAAGAAGCGTATATATTGTTTAGAAACTATAGTCATCGTGATGGGGTTAATATAGTGTTTAGTGCTGCAATTTTCCTACGTCTGAACCCATTTTAACCTAAGGCCAGGACAGGAACACTAGTTTAGGCGTAACTGCAGTTACCATCGCCTTGCCAACTGACAATTTACACTGTTTGGGCACCCCGTCTGGCTCAATACTTGAATTTATAATGAGAGTTTATGAGAAATAGTTCTTCATTCGAGTAAAAGTTTTTCCGTCTTGGTATCGTTTTGTCATGAAAGCTATTTTTATGATATATTTGAATTACTTAAATTAACCAATAACTCACCTCGTGGCATCGACATGGTTCCTATCTGACGAGTGGAAAGGTTGGATCCCTTCATAAGAGCCGGATCAATGACGGACAGTTTCTGGGACCGAAGAAAGGTTCTTCCTTTTGAGTTGACCACCTCTAGATCTACTGGTAGGCTGAAGAGGCTCCATCACAGCCAGTCTGTCAGAGAATCCTCGGCAGTGCAGCTATTGAGTGTGACAATCACGTTCTCTGTACTCATATAATCAGGTAGCTTAGTGCTTCCTCGCCTACTTAGCTACAAAACCTATCTATTTTATTGCTGCAAGTAACACATAATTGTTTACAAGCTACAATAAATGCGTAAAGACGCCTCAGAGTAATTAGTACTAGTAAGCTTTTATGCAAACTATGTTAGTAGTTTGAAAGTGGCTAAGCCCTTCATTATTTTATACCAGTGGTAGTGGTATTGCAACCTGTCTAGGCAAGTCGAGCATTTGGTGTTGAGGCTGTTCAATCTGGCGGGGGCTGGCGGCCATTTCTGGGCCCCTTGTGGGTTTCTGAGCATTGTGGTGAGTTGCCTCGATTGTGGTGCTGAAGAAAACTTCCTGTAGCTGTCGACGGACAATCTTGCGGCCCCTAGAACTCTTCGCCAGCGCGGCTGCAGATTCATCATTGAGATGCTTGTCCGGCTGTTGGGTCAAATCCCTCCGGTCCTTCGACAGTGATGCCCTCCATATGTCCAAATATCTCGAGGAGATGTGAGAATAGTGGAATGAGACGTCCTTGATGTGGTGTTCTTGCCCTGTGATTCTTGATATCAGTTTGACACCCAATTGTGCCCGGATGGGAGAGGCGGGAGGGGAACAACGGGTGACAAAAACCAACAGAAGAATTGTTCAAACATCAGACTGAGCGCCTCGACGAAGTCCCTATCCACGTACTGCGAGGCGGCGTAGTCCGTCCTGGTGCACAGCGCATGAATAAGGTGGCCTATCTCGTGGAAGAGTTTCCCAACTTCTTCGATGTTGAGGAGGACGGGTCGATCGTCAGGTGGTCTGTTGTAGTTCATGACCAAAACCGACGGAGGGTAGAAGCGAGTACCGTCTGGGTAGATGAAGTTGGACTGAAGGGAGTAATGGCCGACGTGCGTGTACTTGCCCTCTCGAGGGTAAAAGTCAAAATACGCGTAGCCCATGAATTCCTCGGTGTCTCCATCCCACACGGAAAACATCATCACATCTGTTTGTTGTCTATCGAAGTGCTCTCCTGAACTATCGCGAAGCGTTGGGTAAGGAAAACATAGCATCCGTTGTATCTCTCCTTGCTCACTGACACTTAGATAGGGACAGGTTATCCACGCAGGTATCTTCATTCTCGGCCGGCTGACATTCCCTTCGACATCTATTGCTGCCGTTGAATATGCCCCCTGCCAAGTCGCGGATCTTGTCGAAAATCCGACAGACATGTGGCACGTCACTCAAGATATAGTTGCGATCCACACTGGCATAGGACCTGTTTCCAATCATCTTTCGGAGTGGATTTGATGATTTTGCCTTGCATAGAATGAATGATCAAATATCTTGAAGTGTGAAAAGACTTGTAAGAGTACCATTGATACTAGGAAGATATGAAACCACAACATTCAGATTGAGACTTTGAAGGGTCCTACACCAGCCGTTTGCCAAAAGCCCTCTGGGTCATATTTCTTGCTCGCTGCTTGCAGATGGGCTTTACTTTCTGGTCCATATGATCCCACGACATCTTGGTTTGGAAAAGCATAATTCAAGTAGCGGTACGTAGCCGCGACATTTCGGCTCCTGGCCTTTTCATCAATAGCCTCGAGCGCCTTCTTATTGATCTCAATGACATTCTTGTCATCGTTGGCATTGGTCCACGAGGTGTATAGCAATATGATAACAAGCGGGCCGTCGGATGCTTTGAGACCCGTAGCATTGCCGCCTTTGGCAGCAGCCTGCTCGATCAAGGAGACTGGCAACGGCTCAAAGCTGAGGGAGAACAAGAGGTTCTCCAGACCCCGGAGGCTCTCAAGCGATGAGTGAAAGATACTGACAACGTATTCCAGGATGCCAGCATCAGCCTTGACTGTCGTACTCATTTTGATTACCCTGCCTCTGGTCAGCTCCGAGTTCAATATTACAATTACAAGACCGAATCTGAAGAAGTTACGCACCTGTTGGAGACGGGGCTTCCGAACGCTTCATCTGTAAAATCTTTGAGAGACCCAATGCGCAGTGACTTCATTTGCTCAATCTGAGGCTGGACATCCGCAAATGGCTCGAGGGCTTTTGGCTTCTCTGCTTGGGTGCAGAAGATGTCGTTCATGCAAAGAACGTCTCCCATCGCTGGGGCATAGCCCAAACTGAGACAGATGTGCACATTGGTATCTGCAGTTGGATCCTTGAGGTATGCAACGAGGCTCTGGATCTGACTAGGGAAGCTGGGTGGGAAATAAAACACCTTACCTCCCCAGAGCTGGCCCTGTTCGAATACGGCGAGGTCAAAGCGCGTGACAATCCCAAAGTTATTGCCACCGCCCTTGAGCGAGATCCATAAGTCCTTGTTGGTCTCAGCATTGGCGTGGACAATCTCTCCGTTTGCGAGCACAATCTCGTAGCTGACTACGTTGTCACACACGAAGCCTCGTGCATATGAAAAGTAGGACAGACCCCCTGAGACTCGAGATCAGAAACACTGCGGAAAAATCGCCACTATGAGGTTGAGGCTCGCTTTCGCAACTGACCTTGCACAGCATCACCACCGATACCTGCGGATGAATGGCGATTACCCACAACGGCGAGGCCTTGAGCTCCCACGGTGTCGTATACTTTCCCCATCTGCTCTCCAGCCGCAACTGAGACGACACCATTGTCCGCATCGAGCCGAATCCCTTGGAGGTTACGCAGATGTATTGTTATCCCGTTTTGAGTGTTTGCAACCCCAGGCGTGCTCTGCTGGCCTGCGCCAGAAATGGCAATCCTCAAACCATCTCCAAAAGGCTTCAGAATCTTGACGATCTCAGAAACTTGGGTGGCTGTCCGGGGCAGCAAGAAGGCGGAGGGCCTTAAGTCACGTTCCAATTCTGTAAAGTAGGAACCGAGAACCTCATTATACTGTTGGCTCCCCGGCAGGACGACCAGGTCGCTCGAGATAGCCCGAACGGCCTCAATTGCCTTGGGAAAGCAGGACATGATGAAGACACTGTTACAGGCCGAAGTCCGCGACTAGTTGACGGAATGGTGTACGGTATACTCCAGGACGAGATAACAAGACATATAAGTATACGATGGGCCAATCCAACCATACTTTAATGAGTGAGTGCACATTCATCCGTCCATCGGTTCAAGTTGCTTTTCCAACCTGCATTGTCTTTGTGGCAACGCAGTCCGCGATGTGCATGCTGAGGGCCAGTAATCGAGAACAAAAGTACCAATATGCATATACTCTGGGCTTTTGGCTTGCTTTGGACCCCATGAGGCTTGCCCTCGGAACCCATGAGGCTTGCTCTTGGACCCCAAACGCCCGTTGGCAAGATTGTTGCGTGATGTACAGTAGCCTGCAGCTCGTTTGCACCGTTGGTCGAATTTACCCCGCTTAGAGCCGCTCTAGGCTTACGACACGGTGAACCAGCTGCAAATATTTTGTGACAATTTCCTAGTCGTGAATTAGCCGTCCACACGGAGAGAGTGAGCTGTGTGCCTAGGTGTCGTCCTAGATGCTGTTAGCACGGTGTACCAGTTGTGATAGGCTTTCAGCCTCGTACTAGTAGGGGTTCAACAGAAATGCAATGCTACCACGCACTATGCAGTTCAATTGCAAGGGAAGCGTCAAGAACGAGATGAGCGCAAAGTCTGCCTCGGCTGGACGTGGCCACGGAGAAGAGAAGGAGAATAATTTCTGGCGACAAACATTGAGACTGGATGTGTTGCAGTCATTGTGTGTATTGACCCGCAAGTATCAAGATGATTTGTACGCGGCTACTGATCTGATAGACAGTATAAACAGAATCGAAGCACCAATGAATGAGGGCTGTAGACTCGTAGCTAGGTGTCAGAATGTACCCTGATATATTGGGATTGTGTCCAAATGACTATACTCAGTGCAAATCTTGGCTCGGAAGCAGCATACCAAGATATTATTGTGGTGGTATGTAGAAACCCGAGCCTTGATGGCCCGTACCCCGGGCACTGGATGGGCGAGTCCTTTTCATATTCGCTATACT